TAAATGATCGATTAATAACGGATTAACGATCTGTGATTCATTCAAAATATTAAACACTTTACCATGGCAACACGATTTCTTGAACACATTACCATGGCAACACAGTTCATTAAACACAGCTTCAGTTAATTTGAGACATGTCTGGCCTGTCAATTGTATTAACTGTCAACTGTCATTTTCGAATTTTGTATCAGAATTATTTAAACAATTTTCGTTTGTATCAGAATTATTCATTAAAAATATATGCGAAATGTAGACGAAAGGGAAAATCGAGGAGAATGTTTTAGTACTTGCATATCAGCAGTGTAAAAATGAAGCATCCATCTTTGAGAACAATTTGTTTATTCTGCGCTTAGCATGACAATAAACGTGAAACAAAGGTTAGTAAGCAATAGACTGGACACATCTACAACCAATATCACTTAAACTTGTTTCGCTGGTTACATGCAGTCGCATGTATTATGTTCTCAATTCCCATTCCTTTCGAATTATTTTGTAGGTTAGCAGGAATAGCAGGTATGTTAATGTAATTTTCGGAGTTCGTAGAAAAAGCATGTAACGCGTTTATAAACTCTTTTAGACAATCTTTTATTAAACACTCGCTCCGCTCTGCTCCGCTCGTGCTTAAAATACTCGTTACCAAAAGGACGTTTATAACACTTGTTACATAATATACTAATATGTTTTCATTTATATTATACATATTTTCATATTTGTTATGTTATAATAGGATGATCAAGTTTTGATAATAAGGCCTTTTGTTTACCAACATTAAAAATCAATTATATTTGATACTCAATATATAATCTAATAGTAAGCTGAACTTTGATTTACTTCAAAATTATCATCTCTTGACACAAGAAAATAAGGATTTCCTGAACAAATATTCGCTTATTTTAATGAGATATTATCTGTTTGTAACAAACTCGAAATTTCTTGATACAAGAAAAAAATTGTTCAAATAATATGGGAGATTAACTTGACAATAGAAGAATTTTCTTGTTACAAACTAATCAATTCTTTCTTCGACCAATACGTACTGTGACGATAAAGAAATATCCATTCAGATTAAGATTGTCTTTTATGAATAGGTCAAGAAAGTTCTGTAGAAAAATCAGACAAATATTTGGTTGGACCTATTGAAGAGCGTCATATGGTTGAATCAATGTTGTTTTACATTGAGTCAAGAAATCCATTTTATCTGTGCATTTCCTTCGTGAATTAAACTTGAAAGTTTCTCTATTCACATACAAGGTGTTGATTTGATGATATGATATTTTTTGAGATTTATTCAATCAATTGAAATCCATTGGGTATGCTATATTGTTTCATCGTTTATTGTTCATGCAATTGAGTAGGTATAGGTTGAATAAACGTTTTTTGTTGAGAAATTCGACATCACAATTCAGTTGAGACTTTCAATATTCAATAAACCTATCAAAACTATAACTTCATGAATTAACGAACATATATTATACATTCTTCGATAACGTTTTTCAACCTCAAATTCCTAACGCGTTTCATACATCATATTCGAATCGTGAGATTAACTTACGAGATCTTCGTTACTTTGAGCAAAGTATATATAAGTTTGAAAAGTCAAGCGTTACTTCATAATGTTAAATTAACACGCATGATGCATTATACAATGGCTGTTTTTTGAGAGAAATCTTTTCGGTACTTTCCCACAACTCTGGTAGGTAGTCTAATAAAATGGTATTTTCACATGAAAAAAGTTCAAGTAGTGGTTTCTCTATACAGTTGTATTATGTTTTTGGGATCCTGAATAGATTATAGCCAAAATTATCGCAACTTCTTCATTTTTTTGTCCGTAGCTCGAAAACTATATATTTTATCAAGAAGACCACGTTCAGAAAGTGGAAGAGGATGACATTTTTTTATATTCGAATTGTTCTTGCTCGTGAATGTAGGACTTAGGGTGAAGAGCTTGAGAAATTAAAAAATTCACCAACTTTGCGTTCTTGGCATCAGATCTCGTTTTCCGTCGGTTTTCGCAGATAATTCATCTAAGCATTTATCAAAGAAACGAACAATACTGCCTGATGTGGAAGAGCCCAGTTATGCCCAATTTGCTGTTAAACAGTCCTTGTCTGCAGCTGTCTCCAACAGTCGCCAAAAAAACACTCAAAACATTTCCTTTCAATTGACCATAACAAAAGTGGCCTTATCAATCTGCTCAGGAAAAAAATGAAAGAGTGCAGGATGGTATCATGCAGAGCATCAGAGGACAACATACAATGATTCATAGGTGCCATTCGGTGGGATTGAGAATTAACCCAACGAAAACCACATCATTGGTACCTTTTACTATAGGAGAACGATGGTTCAGCACTCGAGGTTCGTCCGTCTAAACGGAGCAGACCTAGAATGGCAGCAAGAAGTGAACTATCTAGGACTCATCCTAGACTCAAAGCTTCTCTGGAACAGACACATAGAAAAGATCGCCAGTGAGGCAAAATCATCACTGATTGTGTTCAGGAACTTTGTAGGCAAAACGTGAAGGTGTAACCCCACCTACGGAGCAGTAGTGTGGCATGGCAGAACCAAACTCGCCACTACAAGGAGAAGATGCAAGATTGGCATATCTTTGCATAACAAGAGCAATGAGATCAGCTCCAACAGCAGCACTAGAGGTCATTTTGGATCTCACATCTCTACACATCGTGGTGAGGAGAACTGCCTATGAAGCACATCTCAGGCTGGCCAAGGTCGGACTAAGAGGGAAAACGCACAGTGCAAGGGGCTCACCCCTACTGAGATTGCACACCTCGCTGATCTACCAACAGAACAAATCATTAGGAAGTTCAGTTCTGAGAAGAACTTCCGAGTGGAACTGAGCAACAAGCGTGAATGGAGCAGAGAATTCATCGAAGCGCTGGGAAGGAACATTATTACTTGGTATACGGACGGGTCTTAAACACCCGAGGAAACTGGAGCAGGAGTCTTTGGGCCTTGCACGAAATACTTTGAATCCATGAAACAATTTCTCAGCATTTTTCAAGCGATAATACACGCCATAGACAGATGCACCAAGTTCAACATAGACAGAAAATACTGGAAGAAGGATATCGCGATATTATCCGATAGCAAAGCAGCCATCAAAGCGTTGAGCTTTTCTAACATCAACTCGAAGATGGTATGAAAATGCCTAAGCAATTTGAATGAGCTAGGAGTGGAGGGGAATGAACAAACAGACACTCTGGCACGACAAGGGGCCTCAACGCCACTGATCGGACCAGAGTCATTCTGCGGCCTTGTAAATTCCTGTTCCCAAGGAGAATTTGAAAAAACGGAAGAAGCCTTGAGAGCCAGGCAATGAAAAATACTTCCAGGACTGCGTCACCCTAAATACCTCCTCGGAAATTTCAATCGAGAAAGATCTAAGACACTGATAAACCTCTACAAAGGAAGTCTCAAAGCAATAACGGGATTTCTAACGGGGCATTGCAGACTCAAATAACACCTAAGGAAGCTATAGGCTTACAGAAGGACGGCACCTGTAGATTTTGTGAGAAAGAACCAGAAACACCCCATCACATACTGATGGAGTGTGAAGCTGTACTTGACAAAAGATTGAACATACACACCACCTGACTGTGGGAGAAATACCACAACTAGATCCCCTCAAAATTCCTCAGATTCCTGGAGGAATTGAATATTGAGGGGCTGCTATGAACAAGAAATCCTTGATGTAGCAAAAGCAGATGGGGCACAATAGATCTAATTAGGTCACAGCGCATCTGTCACCATCCAAACTAATAAGACCATAATACCATTGATTCATAGTTGTAACAGCTATTCTATGAGCAGAAAGGAGGATAGGACAAAACTATCGTAGGCGAGGATGTCGACCTTCTATATAGTCCTTACATTTGGTTACAGGCTACGTTCACCGCAAATGTTTCTCAACGTGAAATTAGGAAAGTACCCAGAAAGCTGTAACATCCATGCATCACCTTCAATCATCACGATTGAGTACAATATTCATCATATTGTAACCAGGTGTGACACAGCGTCTGCCTTATTTGGGCATAAAAAACATAGAAGCCCTGATGATGACGAACAAGATGAATCTTAACATAAAATACCACCTCAGAATATACAATAACCCTGACAATATGGAGGCTGGAAAAATGTTTCAGGCACTCTCTTACTCATCTCAAGATTAGCCGAAGCCATTGTCATATAATATATCTCACTATAAGTATTTCAATTTGCCTAAATTCAAGCGAGCGATTACGTCACATTTAAAAAATCAACTAATGTCTCCTTGATTATGGTGTTCAGATGCGTTACTTTCCTGTACACATTTATATATATACATGTATGAATAATGTTCAATTACTTTCTTTTTATCAATATTTTTATTATCGTTAATATTATTATATAATTATTATAATTATTGATATTATATCATCACCTTCTCTCATTTTCTACTCTCCTCTAACATTTACCGCTCAGGTATAGTTTTAGATTAGGTTAGTATGTCAAGCATGACAATTATTAAAAATTATTTAATTGAATATGACAAGGGTTGAGTGGAAGAGCACTAAGTAGTGAACTCCCCCTTGAGATTTCCGAACTGTTGTAAGAATTGTTGTTAGACTGTAGGTTTTTATGGAAATAAAGGCATTTATTATTATTATTATATGAGATATATACAAGATGTTCAAGACATCTGCATACGAATCCGCATCAAACATCACAATTTTTCTCTCCAAGAAGGGCTGCAGCTCGTCAGTATTCATTGCGAGTATACCTATCTCCAGGAACACTGTTAACTGCTTGAAGTCCATTTCTACAATCTCCGTTTATGGAATACTACAACTGACCTGCCTGCTCCTCAATAATTTTCTTGTGAAGTGTGCCGCTGCATGAAGTTCATTTCTTGACAAGTAGTAGAAAATAGCATATGTATCATTTTCGTTGGTTGCATACGCATCGGTATTTGTGTGTAAATTGCAAAGTAGCATTGACACTTTTGAGAGTTGTTTTCTACCTAGGTTAATTGTCTTCATCAATCCATTCATTAGTTTCCTAGGTTTGGAAAGTTTTACTTCTCATTAAAAAAAAAAACTCGAATAATGGTGATTTCTCAGGTAAGAGGTGGAAACAAGATTTCTCAAGTCAAAGACATAGCATAATTATGTTCTGAAGACTGTAGTGGAAAATCATAAATTCATAGGTATACATGTCATTGGAGATTTCTGTGATTTGGACAACCTTGAATAACCTATCAAATTTGACACTTTCCAACAACACTCGATTGATTTTTCAAAATTCGCAGTAAAACTCAAAAATGGAGTATCATTCCAACTGTCCCAAACTACCTTGGATGATAGACTTTCATCGTAACGAACAAAAAGAGGTTCTCAACAATCAATATGGAGCTGCTTTTGCTGAGACCACCCTAGAATACCTCAGCAGTCTCAATATCAAATCTCAACCATCGATATTCAGGTCAACCCAGGTGTTATGCACAATTTCATCATATACCAGTTGCAATTCCATTGACGATTTATTGTCAGAAGGTATGAGAGTGGCGAAGATCGTGAACACGAATATCGAGAAGATTAAGGAAGTTTTGTCCAAGATAAGAGTTCTGAATAGCAATTATAGTAAAAAGATTGGACGACTGAATCCTTTGGCGATAGCACTAGAAGTTCATGGACCTGAAATACGAACTGGTGAGTTATTGAGTTGAACTTATAGATCATTTTTCAATATTTGAACTTCTCTATCATCATGTGTTGATGGCAGTTTAGGTGTTAAGAGGTAGAACACTAATATTGGTTGAATTTTGAACTAATACAGAGTGAATGTTGGGCCAATAAATCTTGCTTCGATATGCTTTATCCAATATTGATATGGTTAATATCCGTTTACAAGATTAGACAAAGATATCATGCCAACTTAAAAAACCGGTTTCATATAATGTAATATGTAAATTCGATATTGAATGTATGCTATATTATCTTCAAGTTGAATTATAATATTGAATCAATATCGTATTTCACTTTAGCTATAAGATTCAAATTTGATATTCGAAGCTATATTAGCCCCATACAAAAGGCGATATTGGTACAATAATACATTTGCATATTGTATTTGATCCATTATCATTTTCTTCATCCCAGAATACCATCAAGTTAGACGAATGCTGCGATATTCAATGCCTCTGAACAATAGTTTGTTGGAGCTGTTCTAGTGGCGCTAACTATTTTAAAGTCGCTCAAATAACAAAAGAAATATTACTTATATCGATTTGATATTAGAAAATCCAATATCAGTGCAATATCGGAAATGGGTATAATATTCATGAGGTAATATTGGCTAAATAAAAAATACAAATATGGAAGTAATGTTCGTAGAAAATATAATGCAATATTCAATGATAATTTTGATTCGCTATCAGTGCAACATTGTAGGCCAATGAAATGCAATATAAGCTAACCATCATAAATCTGATGTTGATGCAATATTTTTTTCCAATAATGTTCATATTGGAAATACAATATCAGCCCATTAAGCAAATTGGCGTATTGTAATCGTTATTATTTCGCCAATATCGGCCAATATCAAATAGATATTGGCAAATAAATGTCAGCTGGTCACAAAATACCAATGTTATTGCAACATTGGCACTGCATTGATTATTTAATATCGAAATGAAAAGTTGGTTTGATATTGGGACAATCTAGTATTTCTACATTCAATTTGAAACCAAGTTCTAGCCAATATTATGTTCTATCTGATATTTTGATCACGATTAAGAATAGGTATTCTGAATGGGATGGGGTCGTGTGATAGCTCATTTGGAACTTCTTTCAATTCTGTATACAACATCAGAATTCCAGACCTATATATTCATTAAAAAATTGTTTTAAATCTCATACCAGGATCCTTTCGATGAGATGCGGCTATATCAAAGTGCTCTCGTGAATTGAGTACCCAATTTCCAGTTCTCTATATTGACATCTAGGAAAGTTCTTTATTCAGTCAATGGGTCCATTTTTGAATCTGTAGAGACGGGAAGAAATAAACTTATTCACCACTACTTAAAATTGCTAGAAGTAATGCAAATATAATGGAGGAGACCACTGATCATTATGAGCTCTATTCCAAAGAACAACCAGTGGATATAATTTTCAATTGTTTCCATTTATACTAGGTCGATACAAAAAATAAACTAAAAAATTCATTTCATTTCAAAACACACTCTTCCTGCGCCATTCGAAATGTTCTCGATTCATTGGTTCGAATGGTGTGACGTGTTAGTCCCAACACGCCTATTGTCCTTGAGCTGACCAATCACACTGCAACATTGCAGAATTGCATGGTATCAGAGAGAGAAAGCTACACTTCGGAACTAATACGTCACGGCTCCACCTTCATATCTGTCTTTTTGAAAAATCGAATTAGATAAGCTGATTTCGAGTCGCTTCAAATTCATTCTAACTTCAACTCACAATATTGATTGTACTTCAAATGTGAGTCATGATTCATCGGATGAAAGAGGTTTGGGCGGATTTCATGCCAAAGGGCAGACATTAATGTTCGTTGTATTGATGCTAACGATTTCCTTTACACTTTTCAAACAAAAAATGACTCTTCGATGTTCAAAACGAATCAACAACGTCAGTTTCGATCCCTAATTGAACATCGTATTGACGTCCAAAACAACCTCAGAAATCAACTAGCGTTTGGACGTCATAATGTCGTCACGTGCTCTCTGGCCAAGGCGTCATGCAAATTGCCCATATCATTTTCCCATCTATCTAGATAATAGTTATTTCTGTATGAAGATGGTAAAGTAGGCTTTTATGGCCGCAGCGTGTAAGTAAGAGCCGTAGCGACAGCGAGTGCTGTTATCATGTCTAGATCCATAAAAGCAAGTTACTCCCGAGATACATGCAACATTTCATGCATGACCCTTCAAGACATTTATTCACTGTCAATATGGAATGTTATAATGATTTTAAATTCACTTGGCCAAATTGGAATAGTAGTTTGCTAATTGCTGGAAAATACACTGGAATTACTTTACCGCCCGATCACCTACTTTTCTGCATGCCAAGCTACTGTACCACCTGCTGTACTCCTTTATCCGCACTATATAGAGCACTTTATTGCCTAAATTCGCAGGTGTAAAGTAACACTTTATCACCTAAGGCGGTAAGAAAGTACAGCATGCAGTAAAGTAATCCGGCGGGCGGTAAAATGAGTAATCAGGCGGTAAAGAAATTTCACTGTCACTACCATTCGTTCCTTCTTTGTCAGTGGCATACATAATTTGAACAAATGAATTCGAAATCATTATTGAATTCCGAATTGACAGTAAATAGATGTCTCAGATGGTCGTTCATATTATATTGTATGTATTTCTGGTGTTACTGGCTTTTATGGACCTAAACGTGTTTCATGCCTCTGACACATAGTTAACTATTTCATCATCATAAGTTATCGCCTAATATGATTGAAGACTTCAAATTCATCGTACAAGCATAATAGTCGCTTGATCGAAGATCACAATCGCCAACTGTACCAGTTCGTTCATCATAGAGACATATATAACTTTAATGTATTTCCTTCAGGTCAGCTGAAACCACCAAACAAAAAACTTTACCTCGAAAAAGGCAGATTAACTAAACTCACTACTGAGCCAGCTTATGAAGACTTCGTGAACGCAGACATGATCTACGTCGATTACGAAAAACTCCCAGAAGTGGTTCAACCTGGAGATAAAATCCTGCTCGACCGAGGATCAGTTACTCTCACGGCTCTGGAATGCGTTGAGAGCATCGTTAATTGCATTGTAGAAAAAGCCGGAATGCTCATCAGTCACTCATCGGTTATAGTACCAAACGCTCCCATCGAGTTGCCGCAAATATCAGCAAGTGATAAGGAACTCATCGAGTTAGCTAAAGGGGAGTGCGTCGACTTTTTATGCGTTTCTGGAATACAGGATAAGGAGGGCATCTTGACCGTCAAAGATGTTTTGGGCCCAGGGGCAGAAAGTATACAGATCATATCGAATATTGAGACAGTCACAGCCATTGAGAGCATAGAAGGTATAATGGAAGTTGCTGATGGGATTTGCATTGACTGCGAGAGGTTGATGCTAGAGTTACCGAAAGAGAAACTGTTCTTGGTTCAAAAGTCCATTTTGGCAAAGTGCAATATAGCAGGTACTACAATATCAAACATTAATTAGTATGAATCATAGTAGGAGTTTGTTTTTGTCACCTCCAATGGCTATCAAAGCTATATAAATTGTATTTTCAACTTATTTCCGACTCTCTAGTAATTTGTGCATTGTTAAATATTCAAGTCACATATTTTGATTCCAGGTAAACCAGTTATATCCACTGTTAACATAAATGACCCAAAATCGGTCACCAAATCAGAATTCTCAGACATAGCAAATGTTATCATAGATGGTACTGATGCATTACTCCTTTCACGGGATTCTTCTACCAAAGATGTCATGTCGGCCATCAAATTCATTTGTAAAGAAGCCGAACCCGCAGTTTATCAGAAACAGAAATCTATTGAGCTAGCTCAATCTATCCCGTCGCCTATGGAAGCCATTTATACTCTGGGAATATCTGCGGTGGGATGTGCATCGGCAACTAATGCTGCGGCAATAGTTTGCTTGACATCATCTGGGAGAACTGCCAAAGTATTAGCAAGGTATGCTAGGTGCATATTGATAGTCATAATATAGTATAGTAGTTACCCCTACCCACTCCATCTGCATTTAGAAAATACTGTTGCACATACCAGACAAAGTTTTCTTCTCAAATCTTGTAATGCGCTTTTCCACTTATCCTCATTCATTCCTCCTCGAAATAGGAAAATCTAAAACAGAATGGAGGCATAGCGTTTAAGATTCACGATATATCATTATATCCGCATATGGATATCATTATTTTCACCCACATGACTTATAATGTAAGAATATTTTATTTATATTTTGTGTAATTATGTATGTATGTGTCTAGAAAGATATTGATCGATAGTGAGCAAAGAAACAATATCCTAGAATTGCATAGTTTGGGTGGGGAAAATATCTTTTCACCATACCATCAGACGTAATGAGACATCAGATCTAGTCATTCCACCTCGAGACATACCAAAGAACAGAATATACCCTTATATCCGTATATTATGGATATCATGGTACCTGTGAGGCATATCCCATATATCCATATGTTGGATACCTGGAGTGGAAGGAGAAAGTCATATCCTCAGTTGCTATTTCTCGCTCTTCTTGATTGTGTCAACAAACCAAGTAAGAATCATTTTTTATGCTCCGAATATCAATTCGAAAAATGTTCTATGTTAGTTTTGTTACTGACTTTATACGCCGCCTCAGGAGTAGCACATCGTACGAAACCTTTCCTAAGTAATGTTAGGAAACTGTGAAATTTATAACTCATATAACAAATTCAAACAAATATGCTCCACCGGGTAATCTCGGAACCCTAATATCACGGGATCGATCGCATTAAAATAGCGCTAGTTCCGAATACTGTGACTGGGACTGAGATTTAAAACAAAGTAGACTAAATAAACCCTTTCATCCAACTCAATATCAACAAGATGAAATGATGGGGCTGATCTTTATCGGTTGCTATTCTCAGGTAAACACTTTTTCCTACGACTACTACTGTAAGTGATGGATATTGTACACAAAACAATGGCAGTAAGCTTCTCCTTACACACGTGTGCGTAAAGAGAGCGATCGCACGGTTTTCATAGGTATGTTGATAGATGACTTTGTTTTGTTGCTTAGGCGATGTGTCAATAACAATTAACAATTTCATTAATGTCACTAGCTAGGTGGGTAGAGCTATCCACCGACACCGAAAGCATCATGAAAGTTATATTTTTTGAAAATATGATTATTTTCTATTGAGAATCCTCAATTTCAGTTAAAAAAATGATGTCAAGCAATGACGATGAGCAGATAATTTCTACACCACCAGAAATGTTAGAAAAAGCTAGAATGGTAAAAAATGAGTTGCTACCCGCTAAGTCTCGTAAATGATACGAAATAGCACATCAAAAATTCCTGGACTGGATTATTAGAAATAATACCGTGTCATTTTCGGAAAATATCCTTTTCGCAATCACAATATTAATATAGCAACATATCCCATTTCCTCAAAAGGAAAGGATATGGATTCCGAGGTAAAAAATCAAAAATACTCAATGCTGAACAGATCAATTACTTTCTACAGAATGCTCCTGTTGAAGGTAATTTTTCAAATAACATATACATACTCAACATTGAATTGATGAATTCCTTTTTCTTTAAATAACAGGAATAATTAAAAAAGATCCATCTTCGAAATTATATTAATAAAATATCTACTAATACGGAGAAAGATAGCTTAGTTGTTGGAAGCGCAGGTTCCGAACCTAAAGGTCGGTGGTTCAGAGCGCAGTTGGGGAACTTATTTTTATTATTTTTAATCGATTACAGAATCTCTCGTGCTGCACTGTTACAAATGAATAACCATTATGAATGTTAATTTTATATTATTATACAATGTGTTTTGGCTACCTATTAATAAAGCTGAAACGGCTCCATTTCAATTCGAATTGAGGAAAATGTCTCGGTATGCAATGTATCAATAAACAAACACAAGAATTATGATTTTTAACTTTTCATTCAGCTGGCTTAGTGACGGGAGACGTTTTATATTGGTATTCGTTATTTGTACCTTAATACAATATCTGCACTATCCGGAAGAAAATATAGTGTAGTCGTAGAAAAAGTATAGTACAATTCGCGAGTTGTAAAGCAATTACGCACTTGTGGAGTTACACACTCGCCGCTATGCGGCATCGTGTGTAACTCTCTCCACTTCGTGCGTAATATGCGTTTTACAACTCTTGTTATGTAATATACTATTTACCTTCATCCACTATTGAAAGTAGGCATAAACACACGAGATACAGCCTCAGTAAGTAGCTCTTTATGCACAGTAAGCACATCGCACAGTTTTCGTTTATTCCACCAGTATAGGTATGTCATGATCGCGTAATCGCCGTCAACAGCGGATAACATAACTGTCAAGTATTATAATTCAGACTGTTTGTCCAAACCTTTTGGTAAGTAAGTAAGTAATGCGACTAATGCGTGTTGTAAAGAAAATACGCACTCATGGAATTACGCACTAACTCTTCCATTCGTGCGTAATATGCTTCTTACAACACATATTCCTTGATATACTAATTGTTTCTTTGTAATCCACTTCCTCATACGAGAATTCCATTTCTTACTGGAAACTATTTTCTCAATAAACAATAATATCCGATGAATATCACGAATTCTTCACTGAATTTTTAATAAGTGTTTCGGAATTGAATGTATTAAATGATTCAAACTTGATATCCCCCCGCATAAGTGGAGCAGCATCCCGCAATGCCCAATTCCCACGATGCCCAATTCCTACGATGCCCACCTTCATGTTGACGATTACGAAGATTGCCAAAGAGCGCAACGTTGCCGGGTTATAGGAAAAAATCAGAAAACACAAGATTTCCACTATGCCCACTTTTCATATATTCCCACGATGCCGTGGTGGTGGGCATCGTGGGAATTGGACATCACGCTACGCACTCCATAAGTGGAGTCAACTCTGATTTTTTTCATACAGGTTCAGACCCAGATGTCCAGTAATAGTCATCACTCGATACCAGCGAGTAGCCAGACTACTTTCGATCTACAAAGGTGTAGAAGCACTTCTGTACTTGAGGCCATTTATTGGTTCCTGGGAAGAAGATGTCGAAAAGAGGGTCCAATATGGTATTGCGTATGGGAAGTATAGCGGTTACATCCGAATGGGGGATGCAGTCATCACGGTTACGTCTTCTAGGCCCGAATGTGGATTGTCAAATACCATGAAAGTGGTGTATGCGTCAGAATTTGATGCCCTACCATTAGACAAACGTAAAAGTAGGAAGTAGTAGTAGATTTTTGTTTTTTAGTCCATAAAGTTTGTGTACAAGGGAAAATAAATAAGAACATTGATGAAGGGTACATTATATTAGTATATGTATCAAATGAATTGAAGAAACCGACCACCTTGACTCTGGGGCACGCGTGCTGTCCCAAAGTTGAACTGGTCGACCTCTACTTGTCGACTTCTTCTATATGTGACTCAGCCTTTGGCGAACTAAGTAATATACATTCCAGCCAACACCACATAGCGATTCAATGGCCCATTGCTGGCACTATTTTGTGGTGATGAAAGAGTACATGTTCATTGCTATTTCAATCAAATAAGACGTATTTTGCACTTTCATTGTGCTGGTACAATAGTATATTTTTTATTAATTTATGTTAATCAAGATAATACTATTTTTACGGCATTGGGGAATCAATGGGTATAATGAATTTACAAAGATCACTGGAACAGTACTGGTTGAACGATGAATGGCTCAATGTCATATAAAGTCATCAATGAAGTGACAATGGACCATCAGCATCTCAGATGCATTCAATTGACATATTTTTTTCGACAATAATTGATGTGTTTTCCATAGGTCTCCCATTTCGTTTTTCTATCCTTTTGCGCATGAGTCGTCATTTTTTATTGTAAGATGTGAAGTTGTGAGTTGTGAGAGTGCATCATCAAATTGAAATAACGAATTCAGTTATGAACTGATATTATTCTTTCCATCGTGATAATGTGTTACTACCTATACCATGGAGTGTCAGTCCTGAAAGCAGTCTAGGGTAGTGGAGACATATATGGCCAGAGAGATTATATTGCTCGAATGAAAATTTCGAGTAATTTCAAGAAAAAAAAAAGCAATTTGGCATCTATAATCGCTGCTGTATTTGGGTAGCTTGGTATTGGTATGCTCCCTTCTAACACCGCATCTTGCATTCCAGGTCGTGAGACCAACTAGTACAGTTTGATGGAGATCGTGGAGCGATAAAAGTGTCATTAGCTAATTTTCGAACAAGAAGTTTCTACCATATTGTTTACATATCTAACATCTCTGTGTTCGTGCACCACAACAAGGTATAAGTTAACCATCATACCTTATGTTTTCATATATAAGTTATATTGGGATAACATGTTGCGTCAAGATTTGGTGGATTTCACTATCGGGCCATAAAATCATATCGGTTTTGTAACAGGGCCCAAGAAATAGTTTGTTATTATGTATTTTTTATTTTTGATATCATATATATTATAGCTCAAATGTTATATTATTGTCTGTTTCTCATTAGCGAAGTTATAATAATGTTGAAGACTCTTGAACGTTTATCCCTTTATTTTACCAATACACATTAAAAACATTGAGGTCGGCCATATATGCCTCCACTACCTTACCTCTACCTCAGACTTGGGTCTTTGTTACTGTTGCAGCAGGTAATATGCAGTTGTGATTTATAAATAACTTGAAATTCACGAATAGATCATTCCAGATACCAAAGAATGGGAGTTCTCGAGTTTTGGATATTCTAGGAATTACAATATCAATCAGCAGAAACGTATAAGTCGTGAACTCTCGACTGGGCCATCAATGAACAAGCAATGAATGGAAGTAATGCTTCCTCAATATTGGCGTTAAGCCGGCCAGTGAACAACTTTTATAATTTATCTTTGAAAAATGTCACTATTGAGCCAATATGATAGTTCACTGGGGTAACATTGCTCTGTAAATGATGGCAAATGTACCTAGGATATTAATTATTATATACCTATACTAGACCTCTTGGTCTGTTTTTTCGAGGTAGATGGAAAGAAATAGGTTGAGGGCAAATAGCAAATCAGTTTGGGTAATAAGTACCTTGCTGTTTCTTTAGACAATTCACCAATGAAAACAATGAGGTCATATCGATGACAGCCATTTGTTTTTGACATTGGTAGGTTAAGAATTTACCAACTTGTTGCTCTCAAAACTCACCATTCTAAATATAAATTATGAACACTGAATTTTGGGTTGTTATCTCAGAAGAAAGTATTCATAGCAACAATCCCAGTGCCTGAAACAAAATACGGTTCAGCATCACGTGATGTTATTGAACTAATAAGATCGCATATTTATACCTATCAAAGAGAATATCATCCTCTGCCACAAATATGATGATAAGCAGCTCGTTGGTTCTATTTTGGGAATGGATGATGATGATGTTGGCCTGATTGGTATTGCTATCCAGCTCATTGTCGGCTGACCTCACAGTCACCTAACAATGTCCAGTAGGAGTAATTATCGGCCACTTTCCGTTGCCTGTATATTCTGTTATCAGTTTTTTTTACACCTTCCATAGCAAGGCGATCAACTGTCTCATCCTGCATAGATCCTATCTTACGTAATTGTCTGCTCAGTAGTTTCGTTTTATTTGTTCCATTCTGGTAACGGTGGTGGAAACATAATGACATTGACTAATAAAACGACAAACTTCACGACCTTTCATGACAGAATAGACACATCGTATAGATAACAGATGATATATTCATATATGGGGCCCATATAATTTCAAAATCATAATATTATACATACATATACATATATAAGTGAAAAATCAAGAAAATGGATCAATGCTTATCTGAAGCAGTGATTGTGCTGATTGTAGGAAGTTCTCTAAGATCGAGAGAATTCATTTTATCTGAGAATGAAGAAATGAAACCTGTCTTACTTGAAAAAAATCATAAACTGGTGAACTTCACAATAAAAATGTCTTATGAAGGTCATCTACTCTTAGAAAGTTTCGTTTTTCATCAATCTTATTTCATTTTTTGACAACTGTCAACAGTCATGTCACATCTTTCCTTGGAGTGAGACGGAATGGAAAGTATAGCAACGGGAATCGGAAATGTTGCAAATAAAACGACATATTGAAGGACTCAGGTGCCGGAATAGGATAAATAAAACGCAACTATTGTTTCAAGGCTAAGATGTTGCCTTTGAAGTATAACAAATGTTTTCAGTGTGGCTTGACTCTCTGGGATGGTATGAATCTTGGCGCTCCTCAGGCCTTAGACCTTTGCTCTCATCCTCTGAGAGCTGAGGTTTCAGACTACAAAGTACACTTGGGAGCAATATATACTCCACTGTCACCCCTTCTTCGATTTTTGAACAATCCGTGAATATGGTATACGTATTTTATCAATTCGGTGTTGAGACCAGTTGAACGAATCTTTCTATATTTTCAAGTTTTGAGTCAAAATCTGCCAGCTATAAACTGAAATGTGCTCCATTATAAATTCTATTATTTTGTTCACATTGTTCGTTTCACGTTAATGCTATCCATTTCGTCACATCAACCACGATGATGACATTATTGGCAATCAATAATGGCAATATTCGTGATAAATCTGTGCGAGTTCCAACTACCTACATTCATTAATTCAGCTAACAACGTTATATTTGAGCGCTCCGAGCCAATTCGGCGAAAATTTTTCGCTTCCGCAGTTCCAGATAAAAAATCCAAAATAGAGTGTATAAAACAGTGTCAAACCGAGGCGAGGCGGCTTCATTAGCGACTGCATTCCACGTGACCCCTTTTTCGAGCCTTTTTATACGTTTTCATTATGTCAAAGCGATCTGACCGACCAATAGGTGTAACCCAATAATTCGGTAGGAGCATGCACCAAAATTAAAAACGAAAAACCGACGCTGGAAATCTGCAACAGCATCGGCAAAATATCGGGCTTTAATCATCGACGCTAAAAATCACGGCTGACGTCCATTCCGGGAATGAGAAGATCCTTCATAAGAACGAAACCTGCAATTGGATTATCACGAACAGAAGAACAACAATAACTTATGGAATAAAGAACGTGAATAACTGGAAGCAGAAGTGGAAGATATGGCTCATATTGAGAAAAACTTCAACATAATATGGTTACGAATATATCGAAAAAATGTATCGCCTGCATGCTCTTCATCAACGCATTGTAGCTTTTTTCGGAAGAAATTGAATGAGCCTTTATATAACACATACATTCTCAATTGGTCTGAGGAAATGTCGGACCCCGAGACATATATGTCCAATATTTATGGAATATATCTAATTGACATACATAAAAATACACACACCATGAATTGGTACTAATTATTAAAGAGAATGAAGTCGAATTCATCTATCATCTTCAATCCTTCTTGTGATTCTCAAACAAATTTGAATATTATAATTTTTGTTTTTTGCAATTGCATTACCTCGTTGGTCCCAGCACTGAGTTTGTCACAAACCTGTTCGTTATATACAAACTTTCTGGAATCTCACCCTCGAATTACCATTTATTAACTGTTAACAAATTCTCTCCACAGTTTAAGTGCTTAGAGAATAAGAAATTGTTTATGAGAGAGACAAATTATTTGTTATAAAATTATTGACCTTCCCATGACGTAGTGATATTCTCTTTGGCGCATGCTCGAGGTTGGAATGCAGTAGGTAGTCGTAGTCAACATGTTGGACTGCAAAGGACGCTGGAGTGGCCTAATAATCAAATATCAATTGCTAACACAGAAAATTGTGGTTTGTACCGTTAAATGTGTATTTGAGTTTCATCAGTTTGTGCTGGATCATAGGTATTACACGAAGTGGCTGGTGAGTTTTTATCATATTGTTCTTCAATATCTAAGACTCAATAGCGAGTCTGCATGGTGAATAAATCATACTAGCATTTATTTCTCCATCAAGTGTTATTATTAATTGAATTCCTATATATTTCTCATTGTCTGACTCCAATTCTTACCAATTTGATAACTATTAGGCATGCTGATACAATTCCTCTAGAGCTTGTTCTATAGACTTCCAAGATGGAGGAAACACTGAAAGGGTGGGGTCTTGGAAATTTTGTTGAAAGATTCCGCAAGGTAAAATGGTTAATTTTCCTGTACATAGGATGATGATTGTACAGATCAATTGTGACGAGATGACAAGTGCAAATTCATATATAAGTGAATAGATTTATAAGAATGGATGCAAATCCACAAAATCCTTAATTGAAGAAACAAGGCTCGAATATGAAATTAATCAGATAGCAACCAATATTTGTTAATAGTTAACATGCCTATGTTCGTTATTGTCAATCAGTATTCGACAACTGTTGAGATATCCATAAACATGGCAAAATTTTTGTATCTCATTCATTTTAATCCGTCCAAGTGCTTCGAAGTTGATGCATCAGACGAAAAATCATGACTTTTCGACCTAATGAACATCGTTGACCTTGATGGAAAACCTGATAGTTTATTATTTTCTTATACTTCACAATCATTTTGA